GCCAGATGTTTACACTTGCTCTAGGCTCGGCCATGTTTCCATGACGATACAAGCTCAGGGTTAGTCACATGCCTAAGGGAAGACCGAGGCACCAGATCCTGGATCAGATTGCTCCATCAACACTCTCACCTCGATGAACCCGTCCACAGATGGTATCAGTTCACCTAGCTTTGAGGTTGGCAGATTCCTCTAAAATGATCTCTTCGTTTCAAATAAAACGCACCATCCGAGCCACAGCGTCTACCCCGTCAGCATTTCCCGAGTCCTGAATAACGAGTTAAAGCCTTTCAACAACAAATTTGCTTTTCCACGCAGCAACAGCGTGTTTGGAAGTGCCCCCGTCTCCTCGTCTCTGGTGGTAGGCATGTGGGCTCGTTCTCGACGGGCATTGTAAAAAGATAAAGGAACACTCCAACCTAACAGGGAAATAAAACCAGATCCACCCACTTGAAAAGAAAACAGCCCACACACAAACAGGAAGAATAAGCCCTCGCCCACCGAAAACTCAGCAGAGCCCGGCAGCATCTCCAAGGGGGACGTGTTCTTGCAAGATTTACATTTGGCAACCTAAAAATCGGCGCCTCTGCGGACAAAATGCTTTAATGTCAACGTGGGTTCTTGAGAAGCTTTTTGAAGGCATTGTAAAGAATAACCGAGTGTGTGAACGAGTGTGTTCCTTCACAAACACGTCGGGTGGAGCTTTAACTTTCAAAGTGGCACAGACTTCTCCTTGGCATTTGGCTTACTGCTTTATTTACCCAAACAATGAACTCCACAGTGTGTGTTTTTTGTTCCAGGCCGTTCTTTTGTTGATGCTGTGTGTGTCGTGCCACAATGTCAAGATATCGCCACAGTTTAGTCTGCACGCCAGGAGCTTACTGTACATAAGACGCCACGTCAAATGGCACGTTGCCCTGCAGCTTCTCTTTTTAAGGGGCTTTTAGACGAGTGCATGCAATGAATTTATACATGTGCAAAAATAAACGGCCAAATAAAGAAGTCGTGCGGTTGTTATTTCACCATTTTGTCGGCATCATGATGAAAAAGAGGGCGAAGGAGAGTAGATGACGCAGAAACCTAATTAAGATTCTCCAGAGCGTGAACAAATTAACCTGAGTTTATGAGCATGCAGACACTAAAGACAGACACACACATCTACACACACACACACACACACACACACACACACACACACACACACACTCATTTGTCTCCGGAGTAGGTGGAGCAGAGGAGGATGACATTCACACTCAAACAGGCATGACTGCCATGGACATTCAGTGATATTTTAGGCAGGGGAGACGCAAAATATTACAGGCTATCTTCTCCAGCAACACCACCGTGGAAAATACACCAAAATAGTCCGCAGGACACGCGGATCTACTTTCGCTCCACTTGAATTTAAGGCAGCCTCAAAGTGTCCACCTCATCACTCTGATTTGGGACGGCAGCGTGATAAAAATGACGCGGCGTCTCGTGTGAGAAATTAGCTCAACGAGGAGAAGTGGATAAATAGGCTGTAACGTGTAGCGGAGGTCGACATGTGCCAGGCGTAGCTCCTTGAGGATGCGGGGCTCAGGGGCGTGTCCAGGGAGTGGCCTGGGGTAGCACATGCCACCCCTGGAACCTGATTGGCCACCCCCAGGTGCCACCGCACTAATTTACCTTTAAATCGGCTTTTCATTGTCCACAAAAGGCTTGGGGGTAAAACAAAAAAAAAAGCATAACCATTGGTGCCACCCATGCACAAAGTTGTGCCTCACCTTGGCCACCCCATTTTAAAAGATCTGGACACGCCACTGGCGGGGCTCGCCGGAGTGAGATGGTGGTGGTGGTTGTCGAGTTATTCTTTTCTTCATTTTTAACCTCTATGAACAAAGCTTTGTGGGGAAGAGGGAGGGGGCTTAGAAATATGGTGATGAAGGGGCAAACGGAGGAGGAGCACGGCTGTCAACGTTGCGAATAAATGAGCCGGGGGGGGGGGACTTGAACCCAGACTGGAGGGCTGGAACAGGAAGGAGGGTAATGAAGTGCAAACATGCTTTGTCATGCCATGTTAGAACCATAGGATTAGAATTCTATAATTAGAGGACGGGGCTCGGTAATGCTAGCCCTCTTCTGAGCGTGATGAGCTGCTGGGTCTAAACGGCACAAAAGGGAGACCGGGGGGAACAGATGCTGCGATGAGAACAGGCAGGTCTGGAAGTTTTCTTTACCGGTAAATCAGGCTCTGCTATGGCACGGCGCAGGCTGACTGACGAGCTGAAGGAGAAGTTCAACTTGGCACGCCGGTGAGAATTGCTGGCATTTCTGTGATCAGCTAGTAACGATGTAATTTTATGTGGCAGACAAGCCGCCGTTGTGGGACTGTTCTCCAAAGCGCCGTGCAGATTTAATCTCATTCATTTAAAGTTTTTAATGTATTATTACACACACACACACACACACACACAGGCTTTTCATGCGGTTTTGGGGGGTGCATTCCTCTACCTGTTCAGCAGGTGACAAATTCATCAGCGGGTCGACAGAAAGGAGGGCGTATGGAGAAGGGAGGGCTGTATTTATAGGCGAGGAGCGGCGAACTGCAAGATAACACTCGCATTCATATATGAATATTTATCCTGAAGCCTGGCATTGGAACAGATGAGCTCGCACGGGGGAGAGAACGAGCCCTCTATCTCACTCTCTCTCACGGTTCCTGAGCTTCATTCTTCACTTTCATACATCCCCTTCACTTGCAATCACCATTTCAATGCCTCTCTTTTCTCTTTTGCATTTTCCACCCACGTTTTCCCTCCAGGCTCCCCCTCTTATTCTTGATATCACCCCATCTATAGCTCTTCCCCTAAAATGCCAACTCCCCCACATTTTATCAATCTCTCCCTTCCTGATGGATGGAAAGAGATGGAGCAACAAAAAAAAGGAGAAGAGTGTGATTAATGTCTTTGAGAAAAAGATAAATAATCACAGGAGACTGGGTGGGGGTGGGGGGGGGGGCTGGTAGTTGGCCTTAGGGGAGTAAATATGGAGTTTTATGGCGGCTCACTTGGGAGAGAGGGAGGAAGGAGAGGAATATAGCGACAGCAGATCCATTCAACTATATTAGCTCCCCCCCCCCTGAACTCTTCACACACAATACCCTCCTCATCTTTTCCATCGTAGTACTGTCTTTCATCATCAATGCTGAACCCCCATCCCAGTGGCAGCTCAGACACACAGGAGGAGCCACACATGCATGTGTGCACGTGCATACACACCCTCACAATTACTCTGCATTTGCTTTTTCCAGGCCAGACCCCGCTGTATGTGTTTGATGGGCCAATACATGTGCTGTGTGATGTGGTCCCCCCCCCCCCCCCCCCTTACCACCACCCTCCCACCCCATCCTGCCCTGCTTTTTAAGCCCTCATCCTCCAGCGGCTTGCCTGTCCCCTGGAGTAGATTGCATCTTTTATTTATTGTTTGCTCTTCCTTGGCTTGATCTTCCCCAGCGAGAAAACACGAAAGAGAGAAATTCTGGGGCAGAAAAGAAAAACTAAAAAAAAAAAAAAAAATGCAATCAGCATAACGTGCCCTGCTCCTGCTGTGTACTCTCCGCCTGTCATTCTCCACTCTCTGTGAGCATGCGGGACGAGACTGACAGCCCATGCAGACGAAGACGCGTCCAGACACATGCACAGTCCCTCTGTGTTCATCGAGCCCCCAACACACACGCATGCTGCTGAAACACAACGCACACGAGTGGCCACAGAAAAACGACCCCGTTGCCCCTCTTCGTCACCCTTTCCTTCCCTCTCCACAGCGTGCACACACACATCTGCTTATTGACGCCTCATACTTTTTGAAAAATCTCACCCAGGGGCAGCGTTCGGCTTCCTGAAGCCCCAAAGGAGTGAGCACATAAATGAGTCTAATGCTGGGGAATCTGCTAAACAGGCCAGAGAGGGGAGGGAGAGCTGCCTGCCTGTCTGCCTGCTCCATGGCTACTATTGTGCACTGCACATTCTCTGAGCCCACAAGAGCTGAAGCCATCTCCACACAGATTCTTTTGAGGGGGGGGGGGGTAGCAAGCCAAGAAGTGAGAGAGGAAAGAGGGGGGCAAGGGAGATGGAGAAGGGTGAGGGAAGGAAGATCATGCATAAAATCTTGTTTACATAATGCATTAAGATTCAGATGAACTGGGGAGGGTAATGGGATTAGGATCCTGAACCATTTCCAAGGGTGGGGAGTCGGATTGACAGCTGAGCCTATTGCACTGACGAATGCAGGGAAATATTCTGGCTCTGGCAAAGGACAAGCCAGCCAGCCAGGCAGGCAGGCAGAGAGGCAAAAATACAGAGCGCCTCTGTTTACTCCAAGGTGTGCAACACAAATCATGCAGCTGAAATATGAAAAAAAAAAAAAAAACATTTTGTCTTTACGGTGCACATAGCTCAGGCTTTAAGTGAAGGTTTGGAAGGCAAAAGAAAGGCTTCAGTGTGTCTCACAAAGGTGTTTGGCAAACAAAATAGAAGCACTGTGGCTTTAAATCACCGTCCCTCCCACCCTTTCTAAATATCGTCTATTTAGCCAGCGGTGAAAAGATATAGGGGGCTTTTGTCTGCGTACCCACTGGTGGGGGCATGGAGAGCTGGAAAGACACAGAAATAGGAACAAAGTCCTAAGCTTCCAATTGGAATTGCTCTGGGTCATTCAGTGCGCACAGCTCAGTGGTTAGAAACAAGAAGTGGGCTACTACTTCTGAAAATAGGCTATTCTCACAGCTATAGGGTAGATCTGGATGGAAATACCCTGCATTGTTTATACCAGGCAGGGCTATGGAGAGCACGCACACACACGCGCGCGCACACACACACACACACACACACACAAGCCCCCTGATAAGTCTGGTATGTCTCCATGGAAAGCGCAAACGGCGCAGGGGGGGGGGTTGGGTGGGACGTTTTTGTTTATTTACATGTTGTTTTCCTGCATTATTTTTGACGCTTTAGTCCACTCACCGACTTGCAAAACGTTGTCCACCCAGCCACCCTCTAGCAGAGTGACACCCCTTAGGAAAGGCAGCTGGGTCTCGTCGTTATTGTCACCGCTAGATCCACTTTCCTCTCCTCCGGCGTTGAAGGAAGAATACATACAGATCTCCTTCTCGCTCCTCGGGAATGACCAATAAACGATCCTCCGCTGGACGGGCTCCGGGATCCTCTCGAACCGCTCCTCCACCCTCTGGAACGGCCACTTCTCCGCGACTCTGCGCGCCGCGATGTCGAGCAACGACTCGGGGTTGTGCGTTTTTCCGTTCCCAGAGCCTCCCGGAGCGGACCCCGCGCCGCCGCACGGGACTCCTCCAGCCCGCTGCCCCTGTCTGCATGCCGGGTTGTAGCCGGGCCGGCAGCAGAGCCGCTTGGCTGGGGGCTGCTGGACTCGCTCGGCCATGATCGCACCGCTTCCAACCTGAAGCGCAGTTCCACTCCGATCATATAAACGGGATAAGGAAGAGAAAAGGGGCACTCTCGCACCGATTGTTTGCCGTACATGGAGAGACTGCCCTTATTTGGGCAGGTGGGCGGTGCTTGCAAATTCCGTGAAGTCCTTTGTGTTGTCGAAGTAACGAGGAGAGGCGGGACCTTGGAGCGCTGCCAGCGCACGAGTGGCGCTATAAAAGGAACTGGAGGCGGAATTCCCGAACGTCGGCAAATCCTTTGTGAAGCCGATCGGGAGCGCGAGGGTGGAGCCCCGACGGGCTTTGAAGTTTCCTTCTTATTTGACTTTAAAGGCGTGGACTTAGTCCAGGGGCGGTCTCGCAGTTTCCCACAGGGGTAAAAGGGGGCAAGAGAACTGACTTTCCCCCCCTTTGGATCCTAAGCCACCACCCCAGCCTCCAGTTTCATCAATAACTGCTCTGATGGTTGTTTTTCAGGCTTAGGTTTTAAAGGACTTTCAGCTGTCAGAGACTGAAAGGCCGTGGGAGAAGGAACATGGAGATATGAAGCGGGACGTGCTTGTCCTCTTTGACCCAAATGACTCTACATCAGTCATTTGGGTCAGCTGTTTTGGCTCCTAATCGGTCTTTGTACAGCAAATTAATCAAATATAGAAAGAGAAAAAAGAGAAGCAGTTTTGAATGAGTAATTAGTAATTAAATGATGATGATCTGGGAGGAAACTCCCTAAAGTGTAACTAAATTAACTAAATTGGAAAACAATTAAGACTCATTCTTTCATAAAAACATCTAACCTAAGATGTTTTAATAACCTTTATAATTCCCAAGCCTTTGCCTGAGTCAATGATCCTATTTGCTGTGCTTTATTCTTTAGACTCTTGTTTTTCAATTAAATGGTAAACATCCCTAAAGAGCAAGTTCACTGAAAGATCACTTGCTTGTTATTCTTGTGAAATAATTGGTCAATCTGAGTGTAAGATATAGACTGAAGCGGAAAATAGTCTTTTACCCCTATTTCCTGCATTAGCTGTCAAAAATTAACAAGGACACGCTCAGGTCAGAAAAAGTCACACAGGACTACATTATTCGGAAAATTAGAAGTCATTGACTCACCCAATATTGCTCATGACCAGGAAAGGCTGTGCTGAAATTTGCAACCAGGAGAGAGCAGAGTGTGTTTTGGCTAGTAGAAGCTAGCTATTAGCATTAGCTGTTCCACAACATGGCAGAACTTCTTCAGGCTTCTTTTATTTGTGGAGATAAATCATCAGCGTTGAAAAGTGAATGGAGGCAGTAGAAGAGTTTCATTTCAGTTAGCCAATCAAAAGCGAGATGTTAGAATATCAGGAAATAATGATGAGTAAGACTCCAAATCCTGTTGTTTTGTGCCCTCTGCACTCTGACTCACTTCTATTTACTGAAACAGGAGCACCAGAGCTTTTCTTTCCACAGAGATTGGCTCTTAAGGCATACATTCAAACCAGAGACCAAAGCAGATGTAGTGAAAAAATAAGTGAATGAGAGCTTTAAATTATGACCAGACCCCATCTTCCCCTCCTGTAAGTCCATCCATCCATTTTTGGCCGCTTATCCGGGATCGGGTCGCGGGGGCCCAAACTTCCCTCTCCCCAGCCACTTGGGCCGGCTCTTCCTTATGATACACAAACCAATGAGGCTACAAACGATTATGGCCACGTTTTTTATGTCCCCCGCCCTTCCTGTTGACATTATTTTCATAGCTGTGTCATTAAAAGGGGCCCCTACTCCTGTTTGAGTCAAATACTTGTCAGGGTGTGGCTGTGTTGCCAAATCTCCTCCTCTGCCGGATTTTGCTGCCTGTTGAGACACCAGGAGCTAAAAATGATAAGAATGTAAGAAAAAAAGCCACCACCTTGGGGGTGTTTTGCTAAATTGTCTATAAACTTGGCCGAAACTATGCTGGTAAACCAGAATGTGCGTTTGCAATGTGGCTGTCCACCGCATGTGTTCCCAGCTGCCCCTTTCTTTCCTCTGTGAGTAAGTCTAAAAGGCTGGCCTTTGAACTGCTCTGAAAGTGATCCATGCCGTATGGACCGAGCAGATGTGGCCTAACCTGATTTGGTTTCAATACTTCCCCACAGGAAGTTCACAAAGCCAGCAGGTCCTCTTTTGTTATGTTAGTCATTTTTCTCAGAGGGCCAGTAGAGCCTTTAGCTTTTTTCCATTGCAGTTGTTACTTTAGAATGTGCTTGTTTATTTATTTTTTGTTTTATTTATTTTTTTGCTCCCAATCAGAGCTCTGATCAGAAGGTTTTGCAACAATATGATTTATGTTTCCCACAACTTCTGTATGGTTACTGTGTGCTTTACTGGAACAACCATCCAGCTTGTTTCATTAGAATGGTGACATGGTTACGTGTTAACTAATATCATAAAAATGTATCATATTGTGTTTTCCTCACAAACTTTAAGTTTCTTATTTTGTTATAGTTTTCAGCTAAAATGTATAAGTTTTTACTTACAAAAAATATTTTCATACACAAATACGAATAGCTAACAATACACTCTTCCTCCATTTTTATAAAATGGTTAGAGATTTTCTACATTAATGTTTTTTCCAATATCCCCTGTTTTTTCACAGCAGTGTGAAAAAAATTGCTGATAAGCACATTTTCTTTTACATTTGATGGACACAACGAAACATTTGTTTTTAAACGGTTAAAATCTCCAAAGAATATATATATATATATATATATATATATATATATATATATATATATATATATATATATATATATATGATGCATTAATATTACAGTGATTTGACCAACATTAGGGAATTGATGTTTTCACCTTGATATGTAAGTATATATATATTTATGTATGTATATATATATATGTATATATATATAAATAAATAAATATATATATATATATACATGCATGCACATCAAGATGAAAACTTCAATTCCCTAATGTTGGTCGAATCACTGTAATATATATATATATATATATATATATGTGTGTGTGTGTGTGTGTGTGTGTGTGTGTGTGTGTGTGTGTGTGTGTGTGTGTGTGTGTGTGTGTGTGTGGACAGAGAGAGAAAGAGAGAGAGAGAGAGAGAGAGAGAGAGAGAGAGAGAGAGAGAGAGAGAGAGAGAGAACTCAATAAACGGAAAAGACGAGTTTTTCCAAATTGAAAAGATTTGTAGCACGTTAATCTTTGCTAAACTGAAAGACTACATTTCCCTTTCGTTAGAGAACGCCTGTTAACCAATCACGAGCGATAAAGTATGATGCATTCATATTCACCTCGGTATCAACGCTATTCCATGTCTAAATGTCGGAAAGCGAACATTTTAGTAATATTTTAGAAAGTGTAAATAAGTAAACATTCATAAAATATTGAAATAGACGCTAATTCATGCGATACTCACAAACTGCAGATAATACGTAAATTCACACAAAAAAGCCAACAGTATTAATATAAATTTGTCTCTTCATCGGTCTTCAAACAAAAGATAAATAAATTAGAAGATATATTAAAATCTTACGCACTGACTACGTTTGTTTTAGTTGCAGTGCGACAACAACTCATTGTGAAGACGATAACAGAAAACAAAGCAACTTTGTTTTTTTCCCATTCTGGTGAAGTTCAGCGAACGTCTCATAGGTTTGGAACGTTTTACTTCCCGTCGCTGGGAAGGAGTTCAGTTGCTTTTTTTCCCCCACACAACCGTTAATCAAACACCAACTTCACCTTTTTGGTAGGTTCTTTTTAGATTTAGCTGTCTGTTTACTATAACCGAATGACGAGGAAACATTAAAAAATACTCGTTTATTTTAAAGTACTTAATTAGAAGGAATTATGTTGTTAGCCACGAGGTTGTTCATTTGCTTTCAAAAGTTAGGCCGAGCAGGCCTTAAGCTAACGATGGTACTAGAAATGTAGCTAAACATTTTACTACATCTCATCCCACCGGTGGACAAGATTATTTTTTAGTTTGTTGGTGTCACGTTAAGACTAAAGGCTCAACTGTCCAGGTGTTTTAGCTATGAGTTAGCTGCTACGCAGGCTATTTCCGGTTAGCCATTTGTTTGTTAGCAGGTTAGCGAAGGCTAACCAAATATGATTACAATAAAGAGGAAAATTAAATCTTCTTTTGTGTAACGCAATTTACATACTTCCAATGTAATTTAAGCCGAACCGTAATTTATTATTTTGATTGGGTACATTGAAAATGATAAAGCTTAACTACAACACATCAGCCGACAGAAATCATCCCATAGTTTATTTGATTGGATTATATCAGGATAAGGAATGGAATACCATAATAAGTTAGGCGCATTTTCCCAGAAAGAGTTGAGAAAAACTTAAGAACTAATTCATAAAAATTTAACAAATGTCATCTCGAATGTGCAATGTGCAGATCTAATGAAATACTTTTATTCATTTTGGTGTAAGTTCATTACAGGAGTGGTATGACTTCTATAAAACGACTAATCCAGTTGCCCTTTTAGTTTTGTAATTTAGTATTCCAAGTTTAAAAATGTCAAACATTTATTCTGTTTAATCAGTTTGATCTTAGATGTAAATTTTGAATCAATAAAAATGTGCATTATTGAGAGTCCGAATCAGACATTCTAACACACAAAACAAATCGTGACATAGAAAGTGTATTAAACATTGTAGATTATATTTTTCAATAAAATTTTTATTCAGCATTGTGGTTTCATGGCACTGTCGAGTTATTTTGCCAATCATTTGATTTTTTGAAAATTGTCTTAAAGCCCATTTGTTGCTTTTTAAACTTCATTATATAGTGTGGTACAATTGGACAGGTGTGTTTGGAGTATACCTATTTAAACTGATTTTTCAGATATATTTATATATTTTTTAATATACTTGTAGTTTTTTTCAGTTTCTCTAGTTGAATCTTTAAAATAGCCAAAGACAGTTATTGATTCAGACAAAGTATTAATGCACCAACAAGATTAGTGTAAAGCTAGTATCTGTGTTTATTCTATATTTGTTTCATGTTTCCTAGACATTTTTTTCCAGACACTATTGCTATAGAGTAGACACTTTTTAAGGCTCAACATGTTTTCTTACATCTTCTTCTCGTCTGCTTACCAAATATTTTAGTGCAACAATCCACAACATTATTATAATCTTTTATTAATTGTGTAGTTGCCAGCATGTATTTCTCTGTTGATTTCTCTTTGTGCTCTTTTCCAGGTTTTATCAAGACTAGAAGTTGCAGGGCAGGATGATTGATGTCCGCGCATGGGCAGAGTATGTTGTGGAGTGGGCCGCCAAAGACCCGTATGGTTTCCTCACCACCATCATATTGGCTCTGACCCCTCTCTTCATCGCCAGCGCCCTGCTGTCCTGGAAGCTGGCCAAGATGATCGAGGCACGTGATCGTGAACAAAAAAAGAAGCAAAAGCGTCAGGAAAACATAGCTAAGATCAAGCGGACCAAGAAAGACTGAACCTGTTGAGGAGGGCAGGATGAGGGCATAAAACTATTCCAAATAATGACACGGTGCCCTTCCTCGTCCCGGCCCTACCACCAATTCAGGGCCGTTAGGCCTCATGTCAGTGTGAAGGGACACTGGCCCCACAGGCCCGATGTTGCTGCGATGGACAGCACTGACTGGAGGGGACTTGTCCCAGTGGGACTCTGGTCAGCAGGAGCTTAGTGGTCATGTTTGATGGGTTTGTTTTTGTACAAACTCCTGTCGTATTGTGCAGCTGTTGTCACATCTTGCATTCCATTGTTAACATCCCCCTCTCTGCTGAAGATTTTATACCGGAACGTTTTCCAGTACAGTCACTTGCTACCAAAATGCTGACTCTGTAATAATACAAATAAAAATGTCATGGTTGAATCTAAACAGGTCAAATAGAAGTGTGTATTTTATTGTCCTCTGAACCAGAATCCGTGAATCCTTTTATCTTCCTAAATGTAGCCACTAAATTTCACATTTTGATGCCTCTGGTTGCTAATTGTTGGCTTTGTTTTTATGTGCACTCCTAGTTAAATAACCCTCTAGCGGTGAATAAAGATCACTAACCGATCAGCTGAACCGCAGTAGGGTTGCGGGAAGCTGGCGTCTTTCTCCAGTTGTCATCAGGCGGGTCACCAGTCCATCACTGGGACACAAATGAGTCACCTAGTGACAATTTAGAGTCTTTTGATACTCATAAAGATAAAGTGTGACACGTTTATAGATAATAATGGTGTTGCTATAGTCTTAAAACCAGACCAAACAGGGTCTTGATTAACCCTCTGGAGGCAGGCGTTGCAGATTTGCAACGTTAAACGTACCTACCTGGTCACTCTGCATATTTCACGAGCATTTTTTAACTCAGAAGTACCCCTGAAGGACTCAGTTGTTCGTCCTTTTATCAAAACTTATTTTGAGCCTGAGAGGGTTAAGACTAAAGAGCATATGAATTATTTTTCAGTTTCAGAGAGCTTGCTTGTTCCATGAATGTCTTCCTTTTTTTCATCAGCAAATCCATGCTCAGAATATATTTTATTTCTCACATTCAGACAGTAATCACACCGGTGTAACATCAAGCAGCTGGTGTTTCTGATTCTGATAACCCGATCACAAGAAGAAACTCTAATATTAAATTTCAACCAAACGCATTCCCAGTTTTTATCCCAGATCCTATTCTGCAAATTGTGGATTGCGTTGAATGATAATTCTCAAGTCTATGTGGATTTCTTGGTCTGTTTCTTTGAAGTGGGCATCCAGGAGCCAGGCTGGAACGCGTCCGCCGTGCTCGTTGGCTCCTCGCTGACCTCCTGCTTGCCAAAGATGGTGGCAGCTGCATGGCCCTTGGCTGCAGTCCTTGCAGGAGCAGCCACCAGACCTTCCTTATACTCCTGATCCTGCAGAGCCCGCTCCTTCTCCTCCAACTCTTTGGCCTTCAGCTTGATCTGCTTGAACTGAGCCTCATTCATCAGTAGCTCCTGTGGAACAAACCAACAACACGTAGTGGACAGTAGATGCAGTGAGTTAAACTGGAATTAGAAACTAAGCACTTCAATTTTTGTTACCTTTATTTAAGCAGAAAAGAGTGTCCTGCCTAGGACATCTTAATATATTATTAAAAACAATAAAAAAACTGATTGCTAATATGTTTTAAGTACATATTAAATACATGACAGAAATATAATGCACAAGTTTGCATGAACTGAACTCATAAATATCAATATTTGTCTCAAATAACTCTGATTGATTTTATTTCTGCGGACTTGAAGACCGAGCTAAAGAGTGGATCATTTGTAAACGAGTAAGTGGTCAAATGTTTTAGTCGTTAATACAAAACTAACAATATTTAAAAAAAAAAAAACGAGATAATCTGAATAATTTCAGTCTTGCATGTAATCAGACTTTATGTTCTGTGATGTCAAGCAAAGTATAACAGCTGGAAACATCTGGTTAAACGAAAAAAAAGTGCTCTGACTCAATTCAGTGTTATTAAATCAATGTTGACCAAAGATGAGTCCTCATTAGGTCCTTATGAAGTGACTTTTTTATAATACTGAACAAAGGAATTGATATTAACACTCATATTTTTAAATTTAGGTTGAATATTCCCACTATGGGCAGCAGAGTGGTTCAGTGGTTGGCGCTGTTGCCTTGCAGCAAGAAGGTCCTGGGTTCACATCCTGGCCTGGGGTCTCCCTGTGCGCGCGAGGGTTCTCTCTGGGTACTTTGGCTTCCCCACATGGTCCAAAAAACATAACTGTCAGGTTAATCGGTTTCTCTAATTGTCCTTAGGTGTGAGTATGCATGCTTGGTTGTTTGTCCTGTGTCTCTGGCAACCTGTCCAGGGTGTACCCCGCCCGCTTGCCTGTAGATTGCTGGAGATAGGCACCAGCCCCCCGCGACCCTGCATGGACAAGCGGGTACAGATAATGGACGGATGGGTTCCCACTATGACTACATGGCCGTAGAAAATCAACGGTAACATGTTGGAAGTCGTTACCGGATGGGACATTATTTCTACTTCCTTTGAAGTATCTGCAGCATGAAAGTCAAACAGAAAAAAAAGGTTTGATTTTGAAGCTTCCAGGAAAAAAAGAAGAAGAAAAAAAGAAACGTGTGCTTCATTGACCTGGAGTTTATCATTTCAATAAGCACCAGTTAAAAAGGTATACTTGGAACAAATGGGTAAGCAAGTGTTTACAATATCAGCAACCATTCTAGCCTAGTGAACTAGACCAAATTCTTGCTTTGCAAAGTTTGGTCTAGGAACGCTCCACTGGAACCTCTGCAGCCCCTATTCTGGCTGGCCAATCACAGCTCTCTAGAGGGGTTTCAAACACATAAAGAGCTGTGATTGGTCCATAATGGTGGGCCAATCATAGTGCTCTATCTGCTTAGTGAAGAAATCACAGAGCTTTATCCGCTTTGTGGGCCAATCAGGGCACTCTATATGCCTGGTGGGTGGGATGATGCAACAGAATGAAACAAGATGGCGACAGCTCGTTTGAAACGGCTTTTACCTCAATTTTGGACTATTAGAACTTGGGCTTCATTAGAATTAGGAGCAGATAGATGGATTTAAGTGCGTTTTTTTTTTTTTTTTTTTTTTTTTTTAGAAAAAATGACGCGTTTTCTCCTTCTTCAACTGCGGACCGCCTCATTTACCGATAGCTGTTGCGGTGAGTATGTCACATTCATTGTCCAGTAGCATGCGGAGATCATTTGAAAGACAACGGTAGAACCCGCCCCACAACCGAGAGCCGTCAGTGGAGCGTTGCCAGACTAAATAATACATTTATTTAGTCTGGCTTGCCAGGCTACAACCATTCAAATTCATGGAAACAATTATTACTAAACGGTTGCCCGCTATGGCTAGTATCCAGTGATGCTAGCTTCACCCTGGAGTCGGGGGCCAAAGGAGGAAGGGAGGACTGGGCAAAAGTGAAGGACTGGTAAAGAGAGGTGGTGGTGGCCAAAAAGTCCTGCTTTGGGGAGGGAGACGAACATACTGAGCTGCTTTTCCAGCCTGTTAATGACAGGATTTAATCCAATCAATTTATGTCGGTTTGGACCAGGAAGAGAGGGAGCGTGACAAGGGGAAGGGTAATGTGTTGGGAGTGAAGCCTTGGCCACGCCGACGCTGTCCAGCTGTCGATGGCAGCTATTGGCCAGACGCGAGGCAGAAAATTGGAAGAGAATGTTCTGGCAAAAGAGGCAGAGGATGGCACCGGCTACTGGCATGGATGCGGGATGGAGAGACAGAAAGAGTGCCTGGGCACTGGCCTTCCAAGGGATTTCCTACAGACCCACGTTTTACCGGCCAAATCATTTCCAGCATTCTCACATTTAAAGAGCAATAAACCCAGTGAGAGGAACGCAAAGGGGGGGGGAAAACTGCACGCCTTCGATATTCCCATCTTGGAGAGTGCCAGAAATAAAACACACCAAATAAAAAGCCCGAGATGGAGGCTTCTGGTGGAAAAAAAGAAGGTAAACCTAGACACTGTGCCAGTGAGCCCCCTTGTTCGGAGGCTGCTTCTGTTCTGTCTCGCCATCAGCGCTGCTGTTGATTTTAACACCTGTCCTCTAAACTTCCTGGATCCACTTTCAAACCGTTAGATTAAAACAAATCAAAAGCTTTTCCCTTTCCATCTTTGCTCCTTTCCCTCCCTTGCAACTAGCCCCCTAGAGTCCAAACATCAGCACAGCGGGGAAGCTGAGGCAAGGGGGTGTACCTCGATGGTGGGGGGCTCCTTCCGTCTGCCTCGGATCCAAGCTGGAAGAGGAGAAGAGATGAGAAAAGGAGGAAGAGTGAGAACACCCACATGAGCATATGCTGCACAAACAAAACCTGCAGTCATATTTGAAGGCTGCAGCTACATCGCCGCTGAGCGACTTGGTGAGGGCGCGAGGGGCGCGTCTGACTTTCTTTGGTCTTGCTTCGTGTTACTTTGTAAACTAGAGGGAAACGTGCAGAGCTATGCATTTGATAAACTCCAAACATGAATCCAGTGAGCGGCGCGTCTCGGAGGAGAACGTGTGGATGTTCTTTGATGTTTGAATCTAAAAGCACATGCTCCGTCACTCCTCGCGGACACCTCTGTCCCTCTCCGGAGCAGAACTGTGTCTGTCATGTCTTCTCCTGTCTAAGGAGTTCGGGATTTGGCTGAGCCGGCTGCACGGCGGAGCGGGTTAAAGGGAGCCAGGAAAGCAAGAGGCGGCAAGAGAGATTTTTTTTTCTCCTCCTTGCAACACTTCTTCCAGCTAGGGATTCTGGGCCTCTTTTATCCATTTCTTATTTGCATCCTGATGAAAATGCATGAGGGATGGGGCGAAGCGGGATGAAGGGGTTTAAGGTGGATAAAGCCAGTCTGAGACACACGGATGGGTGTGTATCTTGTTGTAAGGAATGTTTAAAGTCTATTTTATGGTACGGGTGTTCTAACACCAGCAGAAGGCATCTCTGATGCTCCGTCCTCCATACCATCTTGCTGGATGAAGACATTGAGAAAAAAAAAACCAAGCAAGTATAGCGTGAATTAGCCACGAATCTGTCGTGTTGTTTTAGTTTTGAAGTGGCCGTTTGGTTAACGTTGACAATTTAGCTCCCATATGGAATGTGTGGCAACGATTCTGCAGGCAAAACTCACCATCCCACTCTATCGGAATGCTGCCCTCCGTATATTCGTGCACCGAAGGATTGGCTGCCTCCACCATCCGCTTGGCACGGACGTGCCTTCCTGGAAAGAAAGAAAAAAGGAAGCTAGTGTGAGTTGATGGACGTGCTTGAAAATGATGCACACGAAATGCAAAAGAATATAAATGCAAAGACTCGGCAGACACAAGGATCTCCATCTTCTGCTCGCAGACACCCAGATACAGACAGACGCGCACGCACTCGAGAGGGATGACAGTGCTGTGACAGGCCGTGGATGATTACCTCGCGGCCCTCGGGCCCTTCTCCTCAGATCTCGCTGAGTGGCTCCAAATCTGGGCTAAGCCTTTATGCAAATCAGCCTTCCTTTAGCCCGACCAACCACGGCCCCCCTCACTGACAACCTCTTCCAATCACAGGGCTCTGGCTAACAATGCCCTCCAAAATCAACATCAAGCCCAGCAGGAGACAAAAGAGGTCAGACATCACAGAGAACAGGAGAGGCGCGAGCTGCGTGGAATATTAAGTGCTCCTTTCCCTTCCCTATCTGTATACAGCACAACGCTCGCTGGCAGCAAGGCCATCGCCAATTATTTTGGTCAAATCTGCTGATTAGACAAGTTTGGCTGGCGCACAATGACACAGAGACGAAGACAGGAAGAGGGGGAGCTAAGGAAGAGACGAGATGAGAGAAAGCGAGAGGTATATAAAAAGGATCTTCTTGTGCGAGGTCTCTTCGTGGCTTGTTCAGAAAATACCAAGTAATGTGTTTTCTTCTCACAGGTAGTCGGATGTCAATCTATCACTTCCATGCCTCTGAGAAATGATGAGGCAAGGAAGGGGGAGGTAGGAGATGGAAGAGAGAGAGAGAGAGTGATGATGCATGGCGAACATGGCTGGAAGGAGAGAAATGTATGGGCATGGAAAAACAACACGCTCCAAAACACAGACAATCTGTCAGGATTCCATCACGGTTCCTCTGCAGCCGACTGGACATGGACAAATGGATGCAACCACGTCCACGCTCACTCCAGACTGATGGCCTTAATGTTTACTTCAGCCATAACAGATAGGTCTGACACTGAAATGGATAAATGACGGCCCTCTAAAAAGTAGCAAAGCGAGGTCTGGGTACTTGTGTGTCCGTGTGTTCAGCAGAGACCAAAACAAATCTTTATACTTGTGCACCTCTGTCACTATGAGGATGATCCAGCACATATAGTAATCAGGTCAGCTAATTAGGCTAGTAATGCTTTAGCTCTGCCTTGGTTCCCTCTAGATTGTCACTATATGGCCTCACTGGCTTGATTTTTCTTGTTATATCTACATAAATCCCATCTATCCTGCAAAACTGGATGGACAGTGACCAAAGTGCACCATATTATTTTTTATATTAGAGAACAAGAATGCTTTTAAATGTTTCTCAGACCCCCCCCCCCCCAAAAAAAAAAGATAGCACAACAAGAGGATGTTTTCTCGAGGTAATACTAATACGACGAACGGTTAATTATAAACAGATCATATCCATACTTGTAAGGGTGTGGGTGGCAGCAGACTTAAATGGTAGAATTGCATTAAAGTCCCCGCGTGCATTGTGCTTAGCTACGGCTAATGCCTAGATAACAGGCATGAAGAGAAGAGGCCTACTTTCTGTCTCTTCTACGCTGCATCTCCTCCTCGTCACACGCCGACACAGCTCTTCTGCAGCGTGACTAAATCCCTTCCATGGCATCTTTTATCCACGGATTTTAATGACAAACACAGTGTGCACTTATATTTTGGAAACTCCCATCACAAAAGCACTTGGAGGAAACATGTCGATCTGACTTGGGTGTTTTTCCACATTTTCAACCTGGAGTAAAAGTACAAATTGGGATAAGAGTCATGTCTGAGAAACCATCAATAAAACGATGCAGCTGCAGATACTTGATGTAAAACCTACTATATATTAATCTTAACAACAGGTTAACCCCAGAGTTGTTCAAATCTTGGTACTCAGGGGCTTCTACTTGCATGTTTTCTATATTTCACACCTGGTTTGAATCAATGGGCTTCTTAAAGAGTAAGTGACCCCGAAATCAAATTTTTTTTTTTGCTGATAAACTATTTAAGTAAGTGCCTAATCATGCTGTAGACACATGTAGCCAATAATTTGGCACTTTAGTGCCTCTTAGTTAAAATATAAATACTCTGCCTAAAACTGTCAGTGTTGCTCCATCTTCAGGTAAAGACTCTGCACTACATTTGAATTTAAATCTGCCATCGCTTTTGGCTAACCTATGATGTTAGCTGGTACCATGTGATGTCACAATGCCGCTGTGATTGTGTATTTGTTAGCAGCTCCGCCCTCTCAGTCTGCCAGGCAACACCTCCTTGTCGTGCATTTGTCAAACAGGAAATTGGAGTGAAGTTAGACTCTGGTAGGGGGTGACTTGCTCTTTAAGAACCTGAGGACATGAAGACGAGGTGATCCAGTCACTGAATCGGGCGTGTTGGAGCAAAAACAGCTACAACATGCACGGCATTGGTCCTCCAGGACCAGGATTGAATAGCGCTGGTTTATCCTGTGAGAAACCATGTAATATTTGCTCTTCTTGAAATACTAGGGATATGTAATGGTGAGATTCTGGTGATATATATATCACGATATATTCAGTCAGATGATATTAGACAAGACTGAATTTATTGTAGGAAAATTCAATAAACAGTCCAAACGGATACAAAACATGTTTAAAATGAGGTATCTGAACATAACAGAGGGATTTACGTTTCAATGGTGGGAACAAAACCTATTGCACACTGCTGCCAACTAGAGGTCAGCATTTGAATTGGACCAAAATAAAAGAAAATACACAAATGTTTGCATGTAAATTCTTCCTAAAATTAGATAGATGGCTTTTGAATATTGATATAATATTGCAGGAAGAAATATCACAATATATTGCGATATCGATATTTTCTTACATCCCTATGAAATACGTTCGGTCACTCTGAGTTTCACATGCGTGCAGAACATTAAAATAATCGACCATATTTCCTGCATTAGCCGCAAACAGTAAAGAGATGAGAAAACGCTAAGGTCAGAAAAAGCCAGTCTCTTCTGTACAATTTGCTTTCAGGGACTCGCCCACCATGGGTCGAGGTCGAGATCCTAGAAGGCTTTGTTAATTTCACTGGAGCAAGGAGAGGGAAGGGTTCGTCTCAGCTACTAGAAGCTAACCATTAGCAATAGCAACTCTCCAAACTAACAACATCTATGGGCTTGTGTCAACTGTGAAGAGAAAAGCCTTTTTTGACCCAAGAATGGAGAGTGAATGGAGGCAGCAGAAGAGTCACGTTGCTGTTAGTCAATCAGACGTCAAACAAGTAAATATTAATGATACTCCAAATCCTGTCATTTTCTACCCCCTCACTCTTCCAACTAACATCTACTTCCTGAAACAGAGTTTTATATCTGCATAAAACCTACTCACAAGTTGTTCATTTATAATAGAGACCACAGCAAACTTACTGAAGTGAGTGAGTGAATGACTCCTTTAAGTATACACTCACTAACCATTAGGTACAGGCGATCTGTTGTTTATAAACAGATTTAACAAATCAGCCATGGCAGCAACTTGATGCGTTTAGAAGTCATGAAGACATCTTACTGAAGTTCAAACTGAGCATTAAAATGAGGAAGAAAAGGGATCTGAGGCTCTTTAAACGCGGCATGGTTGTTGTTGTCACATGGTCTTCCATGCACAACCATCTCTAGGGTGTTACGGTCTAAAAATAGATCACTAGCCTCCACAGTCACCAGATCGTAATCCAATCCAGCACTTTTTGTAAAATGGGTGACTCAGATAACAGATTTGGAGCAACTGGGTGATGCTATCACGTCAGTATGGACCAAAAGCCCCATAGGAATTTTTACAACATATCTTGTTGAGTCTATGACATGAACAATCAAAGGAGCAATTTGTAAGAAATCTACAGTGGAAAATTCACAAAACAGTCTATTGCCTTAATTGTGTTAGAAGGAAGGTTGCATTGAAATAAATAAATAAATAAATAAATAAATAAATAAATAAATAAATAAATAAATAAATTAATTAATTAATTAATTAATTAATGAAAGAGGGATGTGGTCATTGTTTACACTCAAGAGTTTGCCAAATCTGCAGCGAGCTAACGCTGGAGCACCAGAATTTGTAATTTGACACCAGCAGGCAAAAAGTGCCAAAGTTGTTAAAAAAAAACCTAGTTCGGTAAACAGGAGTGACCCAGAAGTTATTACTCGTAACCCAAAGAAGCCACAGCATCACTTTGTTTTACTCATGGACGTAATTTTGGGGGGGGGGGGACAGGGGGGACATGTCCCCCCCACTTTTTCCAAAGTCAAGTTTTGACCCCTGCACTTTTTACCATCCAAAAACAATATTACGCTATATTAAATTGACACTGGTTGAGCTCTAGAACCAAGCGGAAAACAACCGTTTGTGTTGAAGCCTGTTTCCCATTAGAACATACTGTAAAGATAACCCCCCCGTGTCCCCCCCACTTTTAAACTGAAAATTATGTCCATGGTTTTACTAACACCAGGTAAAGCAGGCTAGAGGCTAACGTTGCGCTAACAATGCTAACGGTGAATTAGAGCAAACAGTCAGCTCTAAAAAAATTGGCCACAGGATGTCGTTCTTACATATTGCACCTTTAAGGTGGTTTTGGCAGCATAAGAGGGTCCAACCTGGTGTTAGGATATATCAATATGTTAAATGTCCTCAAATGAAGGACTTGAAAAAGCGACAGATGTTTACATTTCAAAATAAAAAAGGAAAATGTCACATCTAATCTAAAATCTTCATAGTTTGGTCAGTTTTTTTCGAACCTTGAAAATAAATTCCTACACCAAAGGTCTAAAAAAACATTCATATTCATCCTAAATATGTAAACAAATGCTGATAAATATAAATGATGCAAAAGCATAACCAACAAACATGGGCGTAAGCTACCTGTGTGCCCCACAGCCCTGCACACGCCTCCACCTTTCCTTCAACGCCACCTTGAGAGAAAACAGAAGTATGAAGAGCGCGAGGACCTCAC